GCTCTTGCCATTGCTGCTTGACTATCACAATGAATGCAAATGGCTGGCACAGGTTTTGGCCACATGGGGATATCCTCTAGAAATTGACGTAGCCACTCTCCTTCTTCACTTGCTTTATCTAAAGCAATAAATTCGGATTCCATTGTGGACCTTGCAATGCATGTCTGTTTGGATGACTTCCATGAGACTGCTGCACTTCCCAAGGTAAAGACATAACCACTGGTAGACTTAGAGTCTTTAGTGTCTGAGATCCAATTAGCGTCACTATAACCTTCTAATACTGCTGGATATCTCATATAGTTCAGCCCATAGTTTCGAGTATACTTTAGATATCTAAGTACCCTAACTACTGCTGTCCAGTGGTCTGTTCCTGGATTGCTTGTATACCTACTTAATCTGCTAACTGCATATGCTAAATCTGGACGAGTGCAGTTCATGAGGTACATTAAGCTTCCGATGATTCGGGAGTATCCTACTTGTGATACACCTTCACCCATATTCTTCATTAAATGAAGATTAGCATCTATAGGGGTCTTAGCAAGACGATCGCCATGCTTGTTAAATTTCTCAAGTATTTTATCAACATAATGTCCTTGAGACAAGGTATATCCTTCAGATGTCTTTGTAATTTTTATTCCAAGTATAACATCTGTTATTCCCATATCTTTCATGTCAAACTTAGAGTTCAACATTTTCTTGGTAGCTTTGATCATTTCATTATTACTACCAAGGATGAGCATATCATCTACATATAGGCAAACAATGACATAACCCTTTTCTGTGTTTTTCACATAAACACATTTATCACATTCATTAATTTTAAAACCATTTGACATCATTACATTGTCAAATTTTTCATGCCATTGTTTGGGTGCTTGTTTTAGACCGTAAAGAGACTTCACAAGTTTGCACACTTTCTTCTCTTGCCCTGAAACCACGAACCCTTCTGGTTGTTCCATGTAAATTTCCTCATTCAAATCGCCATTCAAGAATGCAGTCTTAACATCCATTTGATGGATCTTAAGATTATACAAAGCTGCAATAACTATTAACATTCGAATCGACGTTATCCGTGTTACAGGTGAGTAAGTATCAAAATAATCTACTCCTTCAGTTTGCCTGTAAACTTTAACTACAAGTCTCGCCTTGTATTTATCAATTGAACCATCCGGCTTCATCTTCTTTTTAAAAATCCATTTGTAACCAAGAGGCTTACAGCCTGGTGGAAGATCCACCAATTCCCATGTATGATTTTCCAGGATTGATTCAATTTTACTATTGATAGCTTCTTTCCAGGAAGGAGCTTCAGGAGTAGACATTGCTTCTTGGAAAGTTCGAGGCTCCTCTTCCAGTAAGTATGTTAAGAAATCAGGACCGAATGATTTTTCTGTCCTAGCTCTTTTACTACGTCTGGGTTCCTCCTCGATTTTTTCCTCTGGGTTTTCCTCAACTTGCCTTTGATCATTGTCAAAAGCAGCTTTAGGCTCTTGTGTCAATTTACAAGGAAACACATTTTCAAAGAATGATGCATTCCTAGACTCGATAATTGTATTGACATGAATCTCTGTGTTCTCACTTTTATGTACCAAAAACCGATAGGCACTGCTGTTGTTTGCATATCCTATGAAAATACAATCAACAGTCTTAGGTCCAATTTTAACCTTTTTCGGTTCTGGTACTGCCATTTTAGCCAAACACCCCCACACTTTCAAGTATTTGTAGGAAGGCTTTCGACCTTTCCACAGTTCATAGGGTGCTTCATGAGACTTCTTATGAGGAATTTTATTGAGAATATAATTAGCGGAAAGAATAGCTTCCCCCTACAAGTTCTGAGGTAACCCTGAACTAATTAACATGGCATTCATCATTTCTTTCAAAGTGCGATTTTTCCTTTCAGCAATTCCATTTTGCTGAGGTGAGTAAGGAGCAGTGGTTTGATGAATTATTCCATGTTCTTTATAAAACTCACCAAAAGGTGATTCATATTCACCACCTCTATCACTTCTAAGTTTCTTGATTTTCTTACCAAGTTGATTTTCAACTTCATTCTATTTTTCCTTTCAGCAACTCCATTTTGCTGAGGTGTATAAGGTGCAGTGGTTTGATGTATTATCCCTAATTGTGAACATAAGTCACCAAATGGTGTTTCATATTCACCACCTCTGTCACTCCTTATAGCTTTTATTTTCTTGCCAAGTTGATTCTCTACCTCAGCCTTAAATTTTATGAATTTTTCTAAGGCTTCATCTTTGCTTCGCAACAAGTATACATAGCAGTACCGAGTGCTATCATCAATAAAGGTGATGAAATATTTTTTCCCTCCTCGTGTTTGAACAAATTTCAAATCACATATATCACTATGGATTAGATCCAGAGGTGCAGTATTTCTTTCAATTGACTTAAAAGATGCCTTAGTCAATTTTGATTCAACACATACTTCACACTTATGATTTGCATCAATATGAACTTTAGGTAGATATTCTAAGTTAATTAATCTACGCAAGGTACCATAATTAACATGTCCTAATCTACTATGCCAACTATATAAAGACTCAACAAAGTAAGCAGAAGATGTGTTATTCTTATTAGAAATAGGAACCACTGTCATTACATTTAGTTTAAAGAGGCCATCGCTCAAGTACCCTTTCCCCACATACATCCCATTTTTAGTGAGTACGAATTTGTCAGATTCAAACACAAGGCGAAACCCGTTCTTGCTCAGCAATGATCCTGATACCAGGTTCTTTCAAATTTCTGGTACATGCAGCACTTCTTTCAAAGTAAGCTCTTTGCCTGATGTCATCTTGAGTACTACTTGTCCCTTGCCTTCAACCTTGGAGGTAGAAGAATTGCCCATATAAAGTCGTTCCTCGTTATCTACCATTTGATATGTGGAGAACATCTTTTTCTCAGAGCAAATGTGACGTGTAGCACCTGTGTCCACCCACCATGTTTTGGGGTTGCTTACCAAATTCACTTCAGACACCATACCAGACACATGTAATCCCGAAATCATTGCACAAAGATTTTCCTCCTCTGTTATGTTGGCTTGAGCAGGTTTCTTTTTCATGGTTCGTTGAGTCCGACGCTTGTAACAATCTTTGGCACGATGTCCTTGCTTGTTACACACATAGCATTTGCCTGTGAAGTTTTGAATTTCACTTGTCTTTGAACCAGAGCTACGTTTTGAACTCTCACCAGGATACTTCCTCTTCTTATTGTTGTGCTTAGGCTTCTGTTCCACCACATTAGCCTTAGCCTCCATCAGATTACGCCCATTTTTCTTTTCAGACCCACGGTTGTCTTCTTCAATCCTTAACCGAACAATCAAGTCCTCCAGTGACATCTCTTTGCGTTTGTGTTTTAAATAATTCTTGAAATCCTTCCAAGACAGCGGTAATTTCTCAATCATAGCTGCTACCTGAAAAGACTCACTCAGAGACATACCTTCTGCATGAATTTCATGCAAGATAAGTTGTAGATCTTGGACTTGACTGATCACCGTCTTGGAATCCACCATCTTAAAATCCAGGAAGCGACCAACAACAAATTTCTTTGTTCCTGCATCTTCCGTCTTATATTTGCGATCCAAGGAATCCCACAACGTTTTTGCTGTCTTGATTGGACTATACACATTGTAAAGTGTGTTGTCCAATCCATTGAGGATATAGTTCCTGCAGAGAAAATCTGCATGTTTCCATGCATCTACTGCAGCGACAACTTGCGCATCACTCTCATCTTCTTTTAGAGTTGGCGCATCTTCTCGTAAAAACCTTGCCAAATTCAGGGTAGTTAAATAAAATAACATTTTTTGTTGCCACCTTTTAAAATCGGTACCACTGAATTTTTCAGCTTTTTCCCCATGGTTCACTGGAACATGTCCATGACCCGGGCCATGAGTCAGAGTTGGAGTAACAACCGGAATAGAAACCACCGGTGGAGGCACAATGGGATTAGTCACAAATTTGTTCTTAGTTTGATTTTCAAGAAAGTTGTAAGTTCTGTATTTTATTTATTATTCTGTTAAGGGAAAATCTACATGATCTGTTTCTGTTTATTATTCTGTCTGTATGTAATATCTGTTGTTAATATTCTGTAAACTACATATTCTCGGAGAGAAAGATATCCAACAAGTTTAAGACAGAAATTCGTCCTCTCCTAGGTGCTTGAGAATAATGGACGTCCTGCCTCCAGGATTCAACAATCACCCCAAACAGATGCAGCACTGTAACCTTGTTTGTACAGCGAACCAGAATATGTGCTTTATACTCCCTCAAACTTAAACTCTAAAAATGGAATATGCAAGATGAATAGAGAAGGAAAAGGAAGATCTAGAAAAATTGTTATATTTTTCTTAGAAATAACCAGAATGGAGGACTGCCTAATATAGGCAATGGAAACACTGTTTCGGAAAGACATGTCTCTGCAATTTTGAAAAATCAGTTCGTTGACGTCCGTTGAAATTTGAATGTTAAATTCAAACTTTCTACCAACTAACTAATATCAATTCAAATAGCTTGGGCCCATGAAAATAAGTAATGGGCTTGACCCAAACCCAACTTATCTAGGACCTTACCATGTCTAATGTTTAAAAACCTCAATTAGAAGTCAATTTCTCATTCACCTAAAAATGGTTTGACTCACTAATTATAAAATCTAGTTCACTAAATAATTAGCATAAAGTTTCCGAAACATCAAAATTTAAATCATTTTTCCAACACTTTCGATGTCATCATCTGTAAGACCGTGCACCCTAGTGCCCAAATATCAGTATGTGAATCATATTGTTCATCCTGAATTGACTCCGGAGCCATATACAGAGTACTGCCCCTGAGTCTTCCTTTTCCTTTCTGCCGCTGTCCAGCCTTCTTTGCAAGCCCACGGCCTGCAATCTTTGCAATACTTTCTTTGACCCTCCTCCTATTTCCACTCACACTCATTGATAAGTCATCGTTTGTGTCCACAAGCAATATATTCTGAGGCTTTATATCACTGTGAGCTTAACCCTTCTTGTGAATGTAACTCAGACCCAGAAGTACAGATTTTGTGTATGGTCTCACTGCGCTCTCAGGCAATCCTCTGCCAAAACTCTGAATACGATCGGTCAAACTACCACCAGCAGCATACTCCAACCAGATATTGCACCAGTGTTCTCCTTCAGCATCCATCGTAATGTCGTCCCCAGAACAGCAGAGAACGTAAGGACAGCCTTCAAACTTGCTGTGCAATTCTCTTTCCTTGCAAAGCAAGTAAGACTCGTAGATGGGGGTGGATTTCACAGCCATGACAGAAGGTAGACCATTAGTTGTGGGCGAAACTACTGTAGCCAGAGACACCATTGAAGAACCCCCACTTCCCAGTGTCTTTCCTCTCGTCCAAATTATTGTTCTTCTGATTTTTCTCGCTCTCAAAGAAACACACTCTCTCTAGAATTTGCTGATTACTGTTTTTTCCGTTTTTAGTGATCTCTGCAAACATGTCCATCTCTTCTAGATATAATGTTCTGCTGTTGCTTGGCGTACAAGTATTGGGTGGTTATTTGCTATTCTATTACACCAAGTCTCCTAGTTTTATTAGGATTGGACTTGTATATATCCTATTAACTACGTATTCTTTAACCCTATGAATCTAAAGTTCTAACTCAACAATGTCACTAATCTTGAGAATCTAAGATAACGAGGACAACCAACCAACTAGGAATTCTATTTCCAACACTCTATCGGCTTTAGAGCATCTCCAATGCACTAGGTATATAATACTTGTTAGTTAAAATGCCTAGTGTGATTCACTTTTTTCAATTCCAACGCACTAGGCATATGATTAGGCATTTTAGCTCAACTCATATTCACTAGCTACATGTAGCTAGCCTTTAACGCTAGGCAAAATGTATTCAATCATTAGGATCATTTCCCTCCATCTTTGTTGTTGACGTGGCATTCTATAAAATTAATAGTATTTGGATTAATAGCTAAAATGAAGAGCATGGTTGGAGTAAAAACATAAAACAGTTGATAGGCAAAATAAAATATATACTTTATAGTAATATTTAGATAGGTAAAATGGCTACTACCGTTGGAGATGCTCTTATAAGTCAACTTATAAAAATTTGATTAGTGATCTTTGGTGACAATTTTAAATTATAATTTATTTGACTTTTTCAACTTATTTGGCCAAAAAAAAATCGAATTTTCTTAAGCTACAATTAGTAGGTTTTTTTAACTTACTTGAAATCTTTAAATAAGTATAGACAAAGTAATGCTATATCTTTTGTCTTAATTTTAATTTTTGAGGGCATTTTGGATATTTTCATAATAGAAAAGTTATGTGACAACTTATTTAACTAAACAGGTTCAATTTTTTTTTACAGATTATGAAAAGCTGCACCAATCAGATTCATTAATTATTTTAAATATTTTAAGCTAATAAATTAAAAAATTATAATTATAAAACTAACTTATTAGTGATACCAAATGAGGGAATGATTATATTTGTGAGTGTAATAAGATTTCTCTCCAAGAATCCCATCCTTGTGCATAATTGATATGAATTAAAAGGATAATAAAATTATTAAATACTATAATTACCCCCAAAAACAAATCTACAAAATTTGCTTGCAAATTGATATAAAGCTTTGACTTTTGTTCGGTCACATTACCATATAATTGAATAATAATGTGTATTAATGAAAAAACAAATTAGTTTGTAAAGAAAATTTATGACGTTTTATTTATTTTTATTTTTTAAACATTATTCTACTAATATTATATAAATTTAATGTGATTTGGTGGTTTGGATTAATCAAGAATCCTTTACGAAAAATAGTGAAATTTCAACTTACATCCTGAATCATATTTGTCTTTCGTGAAGTGATCTTAGATGTTTATACCATTCCTCCCTCTTAAGATGGATGCTGCTAAAATTTTCACATCTGTCACCATTTTTTTTTTTTTGGCCAATCGGTAGAAGATTATTTACCATTATGAAAAGAATTACATCAAATTAGGCAATGATAGTTCCCCAACACAAATCTATCAAGCGAACAATCAATACCAAACCACCAAGAAAGAGGAAAGATCCCATAATGAGAAGAAACAAATTCAAAACAACAAAGCCCCATAATAAGGAGAAATAAGCAATCTTTGCTTATGGCAAGATTGACCGAACCCCTGCCCCCACTTGTTTATTCGTCACCATTTCAACACTAGTCTCATTGTATTCTACTGCTTTGATTTTTAGATGTCTTGTTAGGTTAGAACCATCTTTAATCATTTGAATCCCACCAAAATGTATAATTGTGGCGCTAACCCTCAATATCGTCTTTCTTTGAAGTTTAGTGAATTTTATTTTTTATTTTATTTTATTTTTTAAGTATTGTAGTGGAGGTAGATAATATTCATCACAAGATATATTAATCTTAGCTTGTCTTTGTAATCTGATTTCATTTCTCAAATCAATTTGACAGTGAAATGATTAGAATTACTAGTGTATATTTTTTTTTTTTTGATCGGCAAATAAATATTTATTGATGACTAGAATTACTAGTGTATATAATGTTTGTAATATGATTTGATCCTTTCCCATATTGGCTCAAATTTAACTCAATTGTCTGTAGATTGTGAAATTGATTTTTCTATCTTAGAAATGGTATTGAACTTATGTAAAAGCTTTCAACTGAAGGTTATTGTAAAACTTCAATTACATGAATTCACTTCCAGATAGTCCTGTTCAACATGCCATAAGAGGTTTACTTTTTGTTTTTGAAGAAGAAGAAAACAAACCATTAAAGTTGGGTTTCAATTGGCACCTGCTTTATAGTGTTAGATGGTTGATGAATTGGAATCAAATGAAAACATGACTTGTGAAGAAGCAAAAAACCAACTTTGTGCAAATGAGCTTTTAAAAATCCATTAATGCATGCAACTGGTGAATGCAAATGAGCTCTTTTTTTTTTTAATTAAATGACGTTCTGGTTTATTTTTCTGCATGAAATTAATTGTTACTATTGCTCTAATAGTGCTTCTATTTCTAAAAATACTTATTTTGAACTTGATTTTATTTTCCTCCTAATTAACATCTGCGGCCCACTCCTTCATGTGATAACATTTCTCACTTTAACACATGAGCCCAAATGATCTATTGTGTCCTATTCATATGTTTAAGCGTAGTTGAATTAGACACTAATTAATTTGAAAGAATTACATTTAAAAATAAATCTATCATGTCATTAGTCTTTATATACTTGCTATTCTCAATTAGTATTTTGCGTGGTTATTGGTAATTTTATTTATTTCCTTGATTAGACTCTCTACAAAATTTGTTAGGAATGTGTTGAGAGAAGAAATAGATTCCTTTTGACAAACATAAGCTTCTAGCTTTATGATGTACATAAGTTGAAATAGAAACTTTGTGGAGCATTGCACCCATTCAATTCATATAATTTTTATTTTTTTAAAAATTTATGTTGTTTTTGGTAATTTGTGCCATATGCTTGAGGTCAGAGTATCTAAACTAAACATATGCATCTATGAATGGATCTTATGGAAGTGAAGTAGAACTATAGAAGTTTATGTGGAGTCTAAATTTTTTTTCTCCTACTCATAAGGACTTCATGACGTCATTTAGATTGAGCTTAGTACCTGTTTGGGAAGTGGGTTTGGAGGTTTTTTTTTGGCTAAAATAGCCACAAAAAATAAAATAGGTTTTTTAGTCCAACAAGACAAAACATCACAACCAAGCAATAATCATTACATTCTTTCTCTCACAAAAAAGTCAAAAAAATCAAAAGCCATTCCCAAATCAAAATTTTTAGCCTTAGGCTAAAATAGTCAAAAAGTCAAAAAGTCAACCCACTCCCCAAACCAAGCTTAAGATACCAACAAATCAAGGGCACTGAAGTGAAAGAATATTCTTTTTCAAGATTGAACTAGACACAATGAGAGAAAAAGGTGTTGTCTCAAAAGTAGCTGCTAACAGACATTACCGAGGCTGGTGTAGAGGCTATTAGCAGATTATGGAGAGCATTATTTGCAGCCGAAACGAAAGGATGCCCTAAGAGCATATCAGCAGTCCACCGTGACCTCAGATCCCTAACCAAGCACTTCTTGAGAAAATCTTCAGCCTCCTTTGACAACCCACTTGGAATTTCGGGCACTTTTTCAGAAAATCCAATCCTAAAAAGAATAGTGGCTACTTCAGTACCTTTGTCGTGCTTCCAAGGCTCTTTTCCAGTCAGCATTTGTAATACTGTGCACCCGACCCGACTGTCCAAATATCTGCATGCGGTTCATATTCTCCACGCAGAATCGACTCTGGGGCCATATACAGAGCAGTGCCCCTCAGTCTCGGCTTGTTTTCTTTTGCTTTCAGTTTCTTTCCAGCCCTCTTTGCAAGCCCAAAATCAGCAATCTTTGCAGTACTTTCTTGAACCCTTTTCCTCTTTCCGTTCAAACTCATTGAAAAGTCATCCTTTTCCTCCACAAGCAACATATTATTATGAGGCTTGATATCACAGTGAACGTAACCCTTCTTGTGAATGTAACTAATACCCATAAGTAGAGATTTTGTGAAACGCCTGACTTCGCTCTCAGGCAATCCTCTGCCAAAACTCTGAATACGATCAGCCAAACTGCCACCAGCCGCGTGCTCCAACAACATGTTGTACCATTGCTCTCCATCTTCTTCGATCGTAAGGTCTTCCCCAAAACAGCGGATAATGTGAGGACAATCTGCAAAGTCACTGAGCAACCTTTCTTCCTTGGCAAGGCAGCGAGATTTGTAGAATGGGGCAGATTTGACAGCCATGAGAGAAGGTAGGAGATCATTACTTGTGGGTGAAACAACTGCAGCCAGATACACCATTGCAGAACCTCCCTTTCCCAGTATTTTCCCTCTCCTCCACATCATTACACCCCAAGAAGAGACACTCTCTCTCTGCAAAACTCTCTCTTTCACTCTCAAAGAAACTTACTCACTCTAGAATTTGCTGATAAGTGATGTCGTTTATAGTAATCTACATGTAAGGTTTTGAGTTGCTTGGTGTGGAAGCCAACATGTTTCCTAAAACGTGTGATTTGGTTGCCAAAAGTGAGTTTTTTTATTTTTTATTTTTATATATATATTTTTTTAATTTCCTAAATGGACGTGGTGAGCATCTCCAATCCACTAGGCATATAATGTTTGTTAATGAAAATGTCTAGTGTGACTCAATTTTTTCAACTCTAATACACTAGACTAGACGTATGATTAGACATTTTCATTCAGCTTACATTCACTAACTACATGTAACTAACTTTTTAAGTTAGGCAAAATATATTTATTTATTAGTATCATTTTTCTCTATCTTTATTGCTGACGTGACATTTATAAAGTTAATAGTATTTGGAAGGTTTTGAGTTGCTTGGTGTGGAAGCCAACGTGTTTCATTAAACGTGTGATTTGGTTTCCCAAAGTTGGTATTTTTTTTATTTCCTAAATGGATGTGGTTTATGTGACCTATTTCAATGATTTGAAATAAGAAAATGTGTTCATGTTTTTTGTCATTTTTTTCCCCTGAATAGATGTGGTTCTCTTTAATTTGAGTTATATGACATATTTCAATTATTTGAACGGTTTATTTTGTTTAATTATATAAATTATTCATAAAAACTTTGAAAAAAGTATATTGATATTGTTGGAAATTGAGTCGAGTTTAGAACACGGACCCAATTGGGTCGCCTATAATGGCATGACCTGATTAGAAGAGATCCAAATATAATAATAGATTATATTTCAAGATATGGGATAATCTTGATATGGATAATTGTCAATATATTAGATGATAATTATTAATTAGATATTGTTATCATGAGATAGACATTATCTGGGATGATACATCTATCCTATGAGTCTCCTAACTCTACTATATAAACTGAATTTGGGTTCTGTATTTGATACAACAAAAATTATACGTTCTCTCTTTTCATAAACCATTTTGCCTTTGTACCGTAAATAGTGTGGGTAGTTCTCTAGTAGTTCCACTCCATTGTTGGGAATTATTTGAAGATATCAATGGAGGCACGTGATTCACTCACATGATCTATGAATTTGTTTTGAACGTAAAAAGTATGCCCGAATCTGTTTATTTTCGCTGTGTATTTATTTTTTATTTTTCTTACATTAGTATCAGGGCCTATATTGGGTGTTTTCGTGTTATTTGTGCATGAATATATGTATAGATATGATTTGTGCATAAAATTGATATTTTTAGAACCATCTCTGATCGTCTTGAATTTTATATTTGTTGTAGTCTATATTATTTAGATCATATCCGCAATTTTTTGCAAAAATTAGACAGTCAGATTTTGACTGAAATGGAGATTTATATCTAATTTTCGTAAGTTTGACTGCATACTGGTTTTACATTCTTTGTTTTTATGTTGTGAAAATCCACTACAAGAATTTTCACTTTTGGCGACTAAATTTTTAGTCGCCGAAGGGCTTTAGCGACTAATTGTTTGGTCGCAAAATTAGTAGCCGAAGAGTAGTCGGGAAAGCTAATTGGCGACTAAAATTATTTTAGTTGCCAAATGTATCCATTTGCCGACTAAATATTTAGTTGCCAAAAGGTTGGACATTAAATTAATAGACCATTTTCGGTGACCAAACTTTTAATCGCCTAAAGTCTCACATTTTTAGCTACTAAAATTTTAGTCGGCAAAGAGTTCATTTTTAGCTACTAAAAATTTAGTCGCCGAAAGTCCTCATCTTTGGCTACTAAATGTTTAGTCGGCAAAGAGTTCTCTTTTGGCTACTAAATATTTAGTCGCCTAAAGTTCTACATTTTTTGTTACTAAAATTTTAGTCGGCAAAAATGTGTTTATAATTTAGTTTTTTGTTTTTAGCTACAAAATATTTTGGTGGTCAAATGTTTGATTTTCTTTTGGCTACTAAAGTTTTAGTCGCCAAATGTCTATTTTTTTTTTTTTTTTTTTTAATGTTTTTTTTTTTTTTTTTTGCTACTAAATTTTTAATCGCTAAATATCTTTTTTTTTTGCTACAAAACTTTTAGCTACTAAATGTCTTTTTTTTTGCTACAAAACTTTTAGTCGCCAAATGTCTTTTCCCAATTTCTTTTTAGCTATTAATTGTTTAGTCTTAAAAAACATGATAATATGTTTTATCGTGAAATTATTATTTATCCACAACCTGTCTATATACAATGCAACCTGTAATACGTATAAAAACAGAATGATATATACTATCAATCATTCCACAATCTGCATCCATATACCAAAAATAAATAACATTAAATATCAAAGTCCATACAAATCAATTATTGTCCAAACTAAAATAATAATTCCATACAAAATATGTCATATAAAAATCAAAGCCCTCCGTATACAAAAAAATACATTTACTACCAAGCAAAATTATCATTTGGCATGGTACAAATTACCATCATAATCTGTACCACAACAAAAGGTGATATATGTACCACGACAAAAGTTTTTTATGGACCATGACAAAACGTCCTATATGTACGCCGACAAATGGTATATATGTACCACGATAGTCATTATCTGTTGATTGCCAAAAGTTTTCTGTATCAGTAATAATGAACTACACAAGTTGAAGGCGACAAAAGTATTATATTAGTTCTACACAAAAGTGAAAATTCTTCTCCATACACCAATATGGATTATCCATAAGTCCACGCAATAAAACCATCTACAAAGAAAAACAAAAAACGAAACATTAGAATTGATTACAAAATATCAATTCAGTCAGCCATATGGAACATGTTCTAACATGCATTTAAGGTAGAACAATCGAGATATGTCTTCTTGGAAATAAAAGAAAGTATATATATATATATATATATATGTATCATACAATATTTATTCCAACCAACTGCACAAACAATGTAATATGTAATTTCTTCGTCCTATAAATATATAAAAGCAATTATTAGAATATGTAAATGTTATTTTAATAAATTTGTTGCTTTTTTAACTAAGTATTGCAAGTTTTTCGACTAAGTATAAGGCGTATTCGGGGGCTGTTATGAATTTTCATCCTCGGAAAGCCCTTTTTCGAGTAAGTTTAGGGCGTATTCGGCTCTAACTCCTAACCTATGAGTCTAAACTACGTTCCGTCAGATCTCACAATTCCTATTTGTCATGGCGAAGCTATCCGTGTGAGCCACACGGTCGTTCGGGGGTTGTTTTGAATTTTCGACCCCGAAACGCCCTTTTTCGACTAAGTTTTTGACATATTTAGCTCTAACTCTCTACCTACGGGTCCGAATTACGTTCTGTCAGTTCTCACAAGCTATCTATGTGAGCCACATGGTCGTTCGGGGGCTGTTTTGATTTTTCGTCCCCGAAACGCTCTTTTTTGACTAAGTTTAGGGGGTATTCGTCTCTAACTCCAAACCTACGGGTCCGAATTATGTTCCGTCAATTCTCACAAGTCCTATTTGTCATTGCGAAGCTATCCGTGTGAGACACACGGTGGTTCATGGGCTGTTTTGATTTTTTGCCCCCGAAATGCCATTTTTCGACTAAGTTTAGGGCGTATTCGGCTCTAACTCCCAACCTACGGGTCCGAATTATGTTCTTTCAATTCTCACAAGTCCTATTTTTCATGGCGAAGCTATCCGTGTGAGACACACGGTCGTTCGGGGGCTATTTAGATTTTTCGCTCCCGAAACGCCCTTTTTCGACTAAGTTTAGGGGGTATTCGGCTCTAACTCCAAACCTACGAGTCCGAATTACGTTCCGTCAATTCTCACAAGTCCTATTTCTCATGGAAAAGCTATCCGTGCGAGACACACGGTCGTTCGGGGCCTGTTTTGATTTTTCGCCCCCGAAACGCCCTTTTTCGACTAAGTTTAGGGCGTATTTGGCTCTAACTTCCAACCTACGGGTCCGAATTACGTTCCGTCAATTCTCACAAGTCCTATTTTTCATGGCAAAGCTTTCCGTGTGAGACACACGGTCATTCGGGGGCTGTTTTGATTTTTTGCCCCCGAAACGCCCTTTTTTCGACTAAGTTTAGGGGGTATTCAGCTCTAACTCTCAACCTACGGGTCCAAATTACGTTCCATCAATTCTCACAAGTCCTATTTGTCATGGCGAAGCTATCCGTGTGAGCTACATGGTTGTTCGGGGACTGTTTTGAATTTTCGCCCCCGAAACGCCCTTTTTCGACTAAGTTTAGGGCATATTCGGCTCTAACTCCCAACCTACGGGTCCGAATTACGTTTTGTCAATTCTCACAAGTCCTATTTTTCATGGCGAAGCTATCCATGTGAGACACACGGTTGTTCAAGGGCTGTTTTGATTTTTCGCCCCCGAAGCACCATTTTTCGACTAAGTTTAGGGGATATTCGGCTCTAACTCCCAACCTACGGGTCCGAATTACGTTCCGTCAATTCTCACAAGTCCTATTTGTCATGGCAAAGCTATCTGTGTGAGACACACAGTTGTTTGGAGGCTGTTTTGATTTTTCGCCCCCGAAACGCCCCTTCTCAACTAAGTTTAGGGCGTATTCGGCTTCAACTCCCAACCTACGGGTCCGAATTACGTTCCGTCAATTCTCACAAGTCCTATTTGTCATGGCGAAGCTTTCTGTGTGAGACACACGGTCGTTTGGAGGCTGTTTTGATTTTTTGCCCCCGAAACGCCCTTTTTCGACTAAGTTTAGGGGGTATTCGGCTCTAACTCCCAACCTACGGGTCCAAATTACGTTTCATCAATTCTCACAAGTCCTATTTGTCATGGCGAAGCTATCCGTGTGAGCTACACGGTCATTCGGGGACTGTTTTGAATTTTCGCTCCTGAAACGCCCTTTTTCGACTAAGTTTAGGGCGTATTCGGCTCTAACTCCCTACTTACGGGTCCGAATTACATTTCGTCAGTTCTCACCAGTCCTATTGGTCATGGGACAACTGTCCGTGTGAGTCACATGGTGGTTCGGGGACTGTTTTGAATTTTCGCCCCCGAAACACCCTTTTCGACCAAGTTTAGTGCATATTTGGCTCTAACTCCCTACTTACAGGTCCGAATTACATTCCGTCAGTTCTCATAAGTCTTATTTGTCATGGGAAAACTGTACGTGTGAGCCACACGGTGGTTCGGGGGTGGTTGTGAATTTTCGCCCCCAAAAATGCTCTTTTTCGACTAAGTTTAATGTATTTTCGGCTCTAAGTCCCAAACTACGTGTGCTAATTACATTCCGTCTGATGTCACAAGTCCTATGTGTGACTGGGAAGGTGGCCGTGACATCCGTACGGTCGTTTGGGAGCTGATTGGCATTTTTGCCCTCTTAACGCCCTTTTCCGGTTAGGTTTAATGCATTGTTGTCATATTGGAGTCCAAGCGGAAATCATTTTCTTAACTCAAAATTTTTAACTACCAAAAGGCTTTTCAATGTCAAAATTTTCACTGGGAGGAGTATGTAAACCAATCAAATATAGCAACCGTTTGAGTCAAAATCAAAGCCATAAATGCACACCCACAACCATACAAACAACACCGATATCCTTTCCTCATTAAGAACCTGGATAACATATCTATCCCACAATCCACACCTTAAAGCCTTACCACTAATAGCAGTTCCCACCATCATTTTGTGAGGGCCCAATTCCAATCCGCTATCATAGAAAGAAACAAGAAGGCAACATAATTAATATCATATCTTCATACAAAGAAATACAATGACAATGAATACCCACCAGTCACCCCACATTTGATATTTCTCCCACTTGAAATGGAGCTATTGGGAACCATTGTAACTTTTATTTATTGGGAACCATTTAAATACATGTTCATCACTAATTGAGATGAATATTACCCACCAAAAATAAATAAATAAATTGATATGAAATGGAGTTACACATACAGAATTATAGAAGTTCTTGTTAATGATGAGTTGAAAAGGACATGTACACCAGACTACCTAATGCAATAGAAAAGGATAAGAGTCAAGCTAACTATACAACTTGGGACAACACAAAGGGATCTGTGTTCTTCAGGTGGTTACAGAGAATTATTATGACAGCACATTGAGCATCTTGTGCATACACTAGACTAGCAAGAAAAATCAGGGGTTTCTAACAATTACCCAATTAAAAGCTAAGCAATATATTCAAATTGTGAGTTTACATATTATAAACCCAACATAGTATGCTACTTGCTTTCTACAGCAACTCTTAATGTTCTATTATTGTGACAGCAATAAGTGTCAACAAGATACACATAATATTAGCATGTTTTTATCCCTTACTTTCCATTTTCAATGATGTCAATTTGTCAAATTTTGTATTCAGTCAGCTTTTTGGTTATATCAGCAAAATACAGATGTAATTACTCTGGCATGGGTGCAAACTAAACAACAGGTAAAGTGAAGTTTCCTTAACGTGGAATGCTGGTGAATTGTTAAACAAAAGTATACTTTCACTTAACATCAATAGAATGGTAAGGCGAATTGTTAAACAAAAGTATACTTTCACTTAAACATCAATAGAATGGTAAGACAACTACATAATAATACATTCTGTTTATGATGCGCACCAATAAACAAGATTACAAAGAAAATTTGGTACATCTACACATGTATGCATTCTACACATGTATCAAAAAAATTAACACTACGTCATTTTTTATTTTATTTTTTGGAGGAAGGGAGTGGGGGCATTTGCACACAAGGAAGTGGAACACACCAAAAACAAATAGAGGGGTCAGCAGAACCAACCTCAAGCTCGTAACATTTCATATGCCAACAAACAAAAGAAGAAGAAAAAAAAGAAGGCTCAAATGCAGTATAAAGGTAGTACTATAGATTCCAACAAGTAACATTAAGCTTATAATTGAATTTATACCTTTGATTGCAACTTCACGGAAGTTGGTCTTGGTATTGGAGTACAGCCTCTTCCACTCATCCAGTATCATCTTACTTAGGGGCAGTAGATCAAGAGTACAACCTCCATCACCTTTTTGAAATTTGGTTGGTTAACCATGGTCCAATAGTATCTCTCAACATGAGGGAACTCAGCAGTAAAGCTCTTAGTCATGACATTAGTGAATCCCGGAAACAAGTTACATGTCATGATAATGTCAGTCAGGGTTACAGCATGACCAACCAGGTAAGTATTTGAAGCCAGATGAACGCTCAAAGCACCAAGAGCTCTCTTCAATGCAGCAATAGCAGCTTCCTCAGCCTTCAAACAAAATACAGATGGAGTAAAGATAAATAATTAGAAAAAATTAAAATTAACAAAAAGAAAAAGAAACAAAAAAGTTAATAGTAAAAATAAAATGTTATTCTTGTCTATACGTGCTAATTGCATTCCGTCTGTTATTACAAGTCCTATTTGTCACAAGGAAGGTGGTCGTGACATCCGTACGGTGGTTCAGGGGCTGAATAACAGAAATTGGGTTTGTTTTGATATGTGGGTGCTATGTTGCCTTAGACAATTCAAATATCTTGAAAGGCTTATATGCATGCCAGATTTAAAGTACAGACAACAAGTAGCCAAGAAATATCGGCCGAGAATTTTCCAGTAAACAATTTATATTTTTGCAATGAAGAGCAATCCTCAAAGAATTCCCAACGGTAATGCTCATTTTCACAAGGCTTCCATTCAGGTTTTTGAAGGATGGAAATTTGATCAAGTTGCACCAAGACGGTCTCTTTACTGAGTGTTTTCTTTGCCATATCAAGAGGGCCTTGGGTAACATAAAAGCTAACATAAAATTAGCAAGTACATTTAGGTTCATGAGGCTTCCTCTCGATAGAATTTATTTTAGCATCCACCTACATCTACATCAGAAAAACGTAGAAGATAATAACAAGCCAATTTATACAAGAGCAAACATGTATGTCTGAACTAAACAAACAAAGTTTTTCATGAACAAATAACTTGACTAAGAACAGGTTGAGCATGGAAGGAGAATCAAAGAGATAACCAGCAAAAGTAGGCTAAAAAACAAAATCACTTGTCTCGTGTATTGCAATAATGGGGGAATCTTTAAAAATTTAGACATATTTGGTCAATTGCAACATTTGTGTGACTACCTCCCCGTGCTAGCATGAGTTATTTTATGGGGCAAAGAATTACAAAAATGGGTGCAAGTAGTGTATTAGGTAACACCACAGCACCAGAATCTGTATATTGTCCAAAGAAACAAGGCATAGAATCGTCCATATGGTACGATTACAGCAAAACAAAATCTACAAAAGAGTATCAAATTAGTAAACTAAAACATAGAAACTTCAAATTCATCAAACATATGATGTACAGGGACAGAAATTGTGAGCACTCATGCATAGTCAAGGCAATAGTATAAATTGTAAACTATTGCATGCCCAACCAGAAGGAATGGCACTCACTAGAAAGGCAGATTCATGCAACCAAACAGACGCCTATTATGCAAACTATTAACCTAGGCATTTCCAGACACAAGAAAGATTTTATCAAATCTGAAGACGTTATAAGAGTAAAATAAGTGGGATTGTATATTTGCTGCAACATATTACTTAAACTACCACAACATATCAACTCACTAACAGTAACAGTGTGATGTGAACTATGGTGTGGTCAAACTTTACAATGTTAAAAAGCACAGGATTTAGCAGCTCCAGACAAAAATAAATGGGGACTTACTGGATCCTGATTTTCATCATCACTTGAATCTTCAGTACCTTGAGGGGTCGATAGCACACAAAAAACAAGTCCAGGCCTTAGAAAGCAGGTGCAATCTGACAAAGTGGCTTTTCTTGACCTTATTCGCAGGTTGGAAATGGGAACATTTTCTTCAATTAAATCTCCATAATCAAACAAAAGCATGGTTATGACCCCATTCCTAATTTGTAAGCGCTCCACAGTTTTCCATGAGCCAAAGTAATATGCCTCAAAAGCTGTCAGATGGCATTTCAATAACGCCATTAGAACAACAGAGCAGAAGCATTCTAGTATTAAATTATGGGGCAAAATATTTACTGGCAGTTGGAAGTCACAAGAATAATCCATTTAGTTATGCCTAGTGGTTAAAAATCTATTTTTCCATGTCAAAAAAAAAAAAAATTGAATGGATTCATATGTGTTTCTTGGCACCAAATGATATCGAGTAATTTCTCAAAAAATTGAGTCGTAACCTACATTCTATGCTCTAACATCACTTTATCATTCAATTTCAAAATACCCCATCGCTGAATCTTACAAATAAAACACAAAGCACGTTTAAATTAACCTAAGACATGAGTGAAAAGCTATAAAAAAAAAAAATTAAAAAATCAAATTGGTCAATCCAGTGGTCTGACCAAGTCCCAACAGGAACTTACCAAGTAATTCGGTTTGGCTCAATTTATAAACCATATTTTTGAAGCTTGGGTAACCAGCTTGGGGAATGATAGAATATCACCCCCTATTTATAGATGAAGATTAGGGTTTACAAGAAAGGCAATTTACAAGATGATCCCTGAGTGCTATCCCTGAGTGCATAAAATGATTACAGACAGACCCTAGTGTACCTTTCGGCTAATATAATATGCTAACAATTTTATTGAGAATCACTTCGTCTGATTGACCAGCCAGTTTTGATGATCTTTTTAAGAACTAGTTACAGTTACAGATAGTACCTAGGAATGTGAGGAAGGACCCTTTCCACACTGATTTAACACCCTCCCCCAACACCCAAAGGATAAATAAGGAAACCAACCTCAATTTCACAATAACAAACTTCCGATTTTAAACACAAAAGGCATATAAATGAACTGAAATAAAAAGTTAATTTTGCATCCCCAACACATGAAAAAAAATAATAATAAAAAAAAAATTGCATAAACTTTAAATTTGAGATTTTATTAAGCATCACATGACTGAAATATATACAAAAACAGACATTTCAAAAAAAGGGCAATGGACAGTAATAATTAATCTTGCAAAGTTATAACTAAATAACCAAATTTAAAAAAGAGAGAACCAGAACATCAAAACCCTTGGAAAATTTCACAAATTTGAAAATTCAAAATCAATATTCAGCTTCCAAGACCATTTTTTTTTAAAAAAAAAAAAAGCAAACAAACAAACAAACTCACAACTTTGAGAATAAAAAGCATAGCAGAATCGATAATTGCAGACTTACACAAGGCGTATCAAAGGAAGAGGCGACTGAGATTGCGAAGGCATCAACAGTAGCTGTTGCTGCTGCGCCTGTGGCTGTGGTAGCGGCGGTTGCATCTGCTTAACCATCCGCCGCAGCAGGGGCTGAGCCGCTGGCTCCTGAGGGTGCTCAGGCAACACCACGGCCGCCGATGCAGCTCCAAACCCCGTGAAATCCAGCTGCCTCGCGAGCTTCTTCACCGGCGACTCCGATTGAGCCTTTTTTGGAGGGAAATCCCCTCGCTCATCTTTCTCCATCAACTTCAAATTCAAAATAAATCTCCAAAAAAACAATTCTCAATTAAATTCACTGATTTCTGTCCAATAATCGCAAAAATTCCACGAATCTCCTCAAATTCAACGCCTTTGGAATCGAGTACCGCTCAAAACACAATTCAAAATCTCAAACTCTGTCATTCCAGAGCTAAGATTTATGTCGAAATCAGACTAATGTTGATCGAGAACAGTCGCGGATTGAGCAGAATCAAAGAAAAATCGATCTGTACACTTATATACACATGTGAATATGTATGTATAGGCAGAGAGAGAGAGAGAGAGAGAGAGAGAAGAGATAGAGAGAGAATGTTTGCTGAGATGTAGAGAGAGAAATCGAAATGGAAGGAAGGGTACGAGAAGGACTTGAGAGATAACAAATAGTACCTAGAGAGATAACAGACAGAGACACCAACAGCGTGAGAGCAAGCGAGGGAGAGAGAGGTAGACAGACAAACACACCACGATCGAGAGAGCGAGCGAGGGAGAAAGAGAGGGAACCTGAGATCTGTGGTTGTGCCGATGGTGCTTTGCGGTGGTGGTGATGGTCGTGGCGGTGGTAATGTCTTCCGTACGGTGGGCTGCAGTGGGGTGTTTGTGTCTTCGGTTTGGTGTCTGACTCTAAGGTTTGAACGTTGTTGTGTGTAACAGAGAAAGGAGCGGGCAGCATTAAACGAGTCCCCGCGTGCGCCCTAAAAACTTTGAAGATTTAGCGACTAAAAGAAAGTTTTGTCGGAAAAAGTGTTATTATGGGCGACTATCCTATTTGGTAGTCATAGGAAAAGAAACAGCGACTATTTTATTGGTCGCCAAATGTATATTTGCGACTAAATCTCCATTTGGTAGGGAAAAAATTGTATTTGCCCACTAAATTTTGTAGTCACTAAAGATTAACCAAAAAATATACCTATTTTTGGCTACTACCATTTATTTTGTAGGTGAATTTATATACGACTTAAAAAAAATTAGTAGCCCAAAATTGAGACTAATGGCGACTGATAAATTTTTTAGTCGCTAAAAGGGTCTCTTTTGCCAACAAAAAGGTAATTTAGTCGCCAATAAATAATATTTCCCTACTAAAAAATTTTAATAGCTAAAAACTATACCAACGCCGACTAAGAGATATTTTAGTCGCCCAAAGTCAACTTTTTGGTGACTAAATTTTGTTAAGTCGCCAAAATTGGTTGCCAAATGTTCAAATTCTTGTAGTGATCATATATTTGAAATCTTTGTTTCGAGACCTTCGAAACGGTATATTATGGGTCTAATTCCTACTTATGTTGAGGAGAAAAATCAAACTTTAGTTTTGAAGAAGACAAATTTGTTGATGTCATCAGCACGGTTGACTTGACGTTGACTGACGCGCTGATGCGTGTACCGACGTCATCTGCTTAGGTAAGCGCTGATGTAGGCGCTATTAAAGCTTTGTTTGTTTGGTTTTAATTTAAAATTACGTTAATTGCTTTCAGATTATTTGTTATAATTCTGATTGAAACATGACTTATACCGTTTGACTTGTAATTAATTTTTCTATAAGTTGTTAAAGTTTCAAAATTTTATGAAAAATAAAATATTTTTCATTAATGAATAATTCAATATTTTTATGTTAAATTACTTTTGGGGGAGTATGACTTGGATTCTGGGCTTGAAATGTTTACAGTAGACTACTGCTATGTGATCTTATTTATTGGTATGATTTTTGTGTTTTTCTAGATTCTGTAATATTTATTTCTGATTTTCTGTGTAATAATTAATTACTTGTAATTCTAAAAAATTTCAAAAAATTGCAGAAATTATAGAAACATGTTATGGCATTATTTAAATATTGTATATAGCATGTTAAGCTCTTTTAAATGATTAGAACTTGTAGTATGTTGTTATTTTAAATAGCATTATTTATTTATACTGGTGAATTTTAATTTCGCGATTAAATATTCTAGCATGTTTTCTTTTATGAATTACATTGAGATGTTATCATGTAGAGTTAAATATTTTATCATACTTTAGACATGCCATAATTAGTGGGAAGTTGTTCGGTTGAGTGACATCTTTGTAGATTTATTCTCGAAAACTAATATTTTGTGCATGAATTAAATTAAATTTTGGATAATTGTCACTTGTGACGCAAGAGATGATTACGAGCATAGAGAATTTTCGGTCTTGCAACTTGTGTAATATTGTTACTATTTAATTTAGATTTTTGTGGCAAAATTTTATTGTGATATGCTAATCAAATTAATCTCAATGTGTATTTTGTTTCCTCTAATTGACTTAGCTTATGGAAATTAATTTGATTGAGCTAGAGTTAAAAGAGATGTTTAAATATGAACAATGTAATCCTATTCTTTAGATGAATAGAAAGTCTTGAAAACTTTAGGTCAAACCTTAATTGAGCCAAGTAAGGAAACATGACTCAACGTAGCCATGGTTTTGTTGCTTTATTTGGCGCAATAAAAATTGATGTGTGCGCCATGATTAGCAGCATGCTAAGTAGTTTTGTTTGGCGAGTTTGGAGTTGTGGGATTTGTAAGCCCTCAATAGATCAAAATATGATCCTGACTATTGAGCTACACGGATTAACTTTGTAATTTGACTTCTAATAATGTTATATCATTGGATGAAACAATATCCAAGAGTTACATCATCCAAGATATGCGAGCTTAAATGAGTTAGTCATTAAGTGTAACACAAGTAGCCAGTATGAGTAGTGTTTTGCTCCCTACCCGATTGATGGGAGTGGATGGAGCAAAATTTTACGCACCATAATAGTGTGCTTTGAAGTATCACTTAAAGTTAAGAGATTAGTGCGTAGAAGCTGCAAAATCTATTAACACTAAGTGAGAAGATTAGCGCCTAGTGGCTGCAAAATCTATTAGCACTGCCAACTTGTCTAAGTTTGGATACTTCTTGTCTCTACAATTGAGCGTAAGACATGATGAGGTGCTTCTTTGTATAATTCCTTAGCTAGGCTAACGTTTTTGAATGGCATTTACCACTAAACGCAAAAGTTGCAGGATAGTAATGAAAAGGTCAAGGCTGACAAGGTTATTACGACTCTAAGAATTTGACGCATCGCTCGTGAGAGCATTGTGTTGAATTAGACTCTTTAGCCTATTTCGCGCTTAAGTTGCTTCAGGAGCTGTCATAGATTGATAGCTTATTCTCTCCTTCTTGTGGATAGTAGAATTAATTACAACTATGTTGCTTTAGGAGTTGTCATAGATTAATAGCTTATTCTCTCCATCTTATGGATAGTAGAATTATTTGCAACTAAGTTGCTTTAGGAGCTATCATAGATTGATAGCTTATTTTTTTCCTTCTTGTGGATAGTAGAATTAATTGCAACTAACTATGAAGCGAGAAACAGAGATGGCAAGAGGAGTATAATTATGTTTCAAATAGATGTAGTAAAGTGTATGGAAAATAAAATTGACTTGAAGGTGCAAGGGATAAACACTTACTAGTTAAATTGTGACTTAGGTGCACTTGATATCTCCATGACATCCTTTTATGATCTAGTGAACATTAGTTAGTCATGAGTTATTACCTAGTTGGGCTTAAACCTTTACTTGTCTTTGAGAACTCACACATTAGGCTGATTGGAATTAGTTTATGACATTGGTTATAAACCGGTGGCTTGTTGTTCTTAATCGTATTAATGAGAAGATGACATGGATAGTGGCATCTTGCTCTCATGTGAATATGTAACTTTGTTTGCAATGGTTGTGCACAAGTAAGTAGGAAGCCGCATGAGGGCATCTGTATTGGCGTATTGAGTCCACTATGATATTTGTGACTAGATATGTGTAAGGGTATGATAGCTAGCCCCAATCTCAACACATTTATAGATTACGATACGCATCTTAATCAAGACTATTTGATCTCACATAAGTCAAAAGTTTTGAAATGTTTTTTGACATTGCATATATGAAGTCGAGATCAATTAGATAAGAGCTTTCGTGTTTTTAGTTTTGACCGAGGTGGCGAGTATCTATTTGAGTTGTTTTTTAGAAAACTCTGTGAAGAGAATGAGATGCTTAGAAAATTGATTATTCCTAGTACTCAGCAGTACAATTGTGTAGTAAAGATAAAGAATTGAGTATTGTTTATGTTAAGTGGATGATAGCGCAATATGTTTCCCAATTGGTAATTGCACTTTAGTTTGTTGCCTATGTCCCTAACTGAGTGCCCTCTATATCAGATTTTATACTCCTTTTGAGTAATAGGTTAGCGGAGATCCATTTGTGGGCGATCTGTAACCATCAAGCAGCTTATCTTTATTTTATTTATCTTAAGGTTGTGAAGTTAAGACCTAGAGTTCTATGATGCATTATTGTATGCTGCCTTGTAAACGCTTAGGGTCATGTGGCGAATTATTGTATTCTATCATGTAAACCTTCCGGGTCATGTGCTTATAGGTGAGTAGCTTTGTAAGAGTGTAACTAACTCACATAAAGTTTTCTTAGTAAAGGTGGCGTGAATAGAGTTTTGGAACTTTATAAGATAGAGAATTCTAAGTATAGCGCTTTATGTAGCCTAGTTAAGAATGGAAAATTTTTTCCAATATCCTAGGGACAGTGGGAGCGATGTGCGTACTAGTGGATTACTCCATTAAAGAAAAATACTGTACATTCTTAGTTGTGTGGTAGCGAATGTAAAAATTTTCCACGTCATCACTAGGTGATTGAGAGGGAAACATTCATGATTGCTTCGCAAGATGATAAAAAGTCTACGATAATGCCAAAAGCTCTCTAGTTCCCTATTTTTAGAAAGTGAATCAAAGTTGCGCATTTTAAGACAAAGTTTTTGAGGATTAATCATTTCTAGGATTTGGTTAACTTTTTGCTATGACGCAAAACTGTTCTAAAGTTATGCACAATTTGGATAGTCATTTTTTGAGGCATAAGGTTCGCTAGATACCGAAAAGTGGTACCATTGAGGAAGGTGTAGACCATGGGAAGACTTTCTCCTGGGGAGTGAGGTTACTTTGACTTAGGCTATGATTGACATGAATTTGGAACTTTGATTTGTGGACGTTGTGACCCAACTTCTCATTGGAGAATTGGATAAGTAGATCCATAGGGATTTACCTTCTGTTTTTATGGTGAAAAGTTAGGAGTGAAAAAAGATTACTAGTTCTAATAAATCTTTTACGGCCTAAAACAGTTGTCCAAATAGTGGTTCTTAGATTTCGTCGAGCAATGATAGGCCAACGATGATCAATGGTCCAAAAGAAGTTTTTCCTTACTTAGTCATTATGAGCCAGGAATTTATAACGTTGTCGCGCCTAGGTTTGGCAGTCCTCTATTTTAGACATGATAGACATGGGTGATGTAATTTATATGCTCGGATGTACGATCCTTAGAGATTGTTCTGGGAGAATTCTCGGTTTGTCTTTGACGACTTACATAAGGAGTGTCCTAGAATGATTCTAGATGCAAATTGCAAACCCATTGACTTAATTATCGGTAAAAGCTAAAGCCTTACCTATTGAGTGAATCCTCAGATTGTCTTTGGGAGAAACAGATGACCCATATTCCTTGATCTTTTGTTGTGGAAGCTTGAAGAACGCTATGTGGGCATATTCGACGTGATGAGTGCTATCTTTTATAAATGGTTAACTGAGTGGTTTAGACCTTGAC